CTATGCTGGCTGGGGAATTCTGGGAGTTGAAGTCCACCTGTCTTAAAGTCAACACGGTTGAGGAACACTGGGCTACAGCGTTGGGTGCTGCCTTTAAACGCCCACTTGAACATGGCTATTGAGTTAATCTTTTTTTCTAATTCAAATAAAAGAGAAGATTTATAACTCAGGGTTGGACTGTGGAGTCCTCGGTGCTCTCTGAGCTTGGTGGCTTGCTTGCAGACGTTTCATGACCCAACTAGCTAACATCATCATTGCCAGTCAGATATGGCCTTTGTATAGAAGGTCCATTCCATCTCCAGATTTATTCCCCTTTCCCCACCATATTTCATGGTTATTGAACTAGATAACATCATCTGGCACTGATGATGTTACCTAGTCGGGTCGTGAAACGTCTACAAGCAACTCTCCAAGCTCAGAGAGCACCGAGGACGTCACCTTTTCTCTGAGTTTTGCAAGACACTGAGCCACAAGCTTAAAAAAAACAGGCTGGCTTCCAGAAGGCATAAAAATTAACCGGGATGAACTCTAACCGAGGTTTACCGTACATAGATGTCTGCTAGGTTTTTACCAGGCCAGGTTAATGGAGGGATGAAGGATTTGGAATTTGGATGGAGGGGCTGTGCAAGGATGAATCCTCCTGGAGACTTTCCAGGGGTTTTTTTTTAGGGCTTGGTGGTGTAACACAAGGTGACAATTGGGGCTTCTGAAGAAGGTAGATTTCTTTCAGCGGGTCCTGAAAGCTTGTACCTTTTAGTAAAACACCTTGGTTGGAACAGGGCTTCCTAGGCTCCTCCTGATATTTGCTAACACGAGTCTCTTCCTACAAGGCAGAGACCGCGTAGATTCTCCTGGGTTGGTGGAGAAGGGGATTAAAAACAGAGGACGGTCCTTAGAGTCACCGCCAGGGTGAAATGCTTTCTGCAGATAGAGACGAGATGATGCGCTTGACGTTCATTCTGCTTCCATTCCAGGCTGTGCTTTTCTTACTTACTGCGCCCGAGATTCTGCTATCAAAGCTCAGACAGCCTTACATGAACAGAAAACGCTGCCAGGGGTAAGTGTCGGCATCCGATAACTTTGCGCTGAAGCCAAAGGGGTCCCTCCCGTCTTGGAAAGATTCTGTTTTGTGCCATGTGCCAAAGTGTGCTGGGAGAACAGAAGAAAGACCCTGGGATGCTTTTTGTGTTAGCCCTGCGAGGTAGTCCAGGCAACAAGCACAGCCAGGAGTCCTAGCTCTACCTTTATTGTAAGGTTGCATTAACAGAATCTTGCAAGACTGAAAGTATTTCTCCGCTCCTTTCTTTTTGCTCTCTGGAAAACTCGGGAGGGTCCCTTCTGCGATGCTTCCCACGCCCCCTTTCCTTCTGCGGGCTGCGGCA